ACGTGGGTGTCGGTTGGGTGGTATGGCGCTCCAAGGAGTATCTCCCGAAGGATCTCATCTTTGAGCTGCATTACCTTGGTTCAGTTGAATACTCATTCTCGCTCAACTTCTCCCGTCCTGCCGCACCCATCATCGCTCAATACTTCAATTTTATCCACCTCGGATTTGAGGGATACCGCGCGGTAGCTAAAGATGATCTCAAGAATGCAAGGCTCTTGAGTCGTGCTCTTGAGAAGTCTGGGTGGTACACAGTGCTCAGCGAGATACACCGACCAAAAGCCGAAAATATCCTTCAGAAGAATGCTCACAACGACTTCGACGAAGAAAATATCGAGGTCAGCATTCTACCGCTGGATAGCAACGCTTTCTGACGTCCCGCAGAACTATGAAGAAGGTCTTCCGGTTGTTGCATTCCGGTTCTCCGACAGTTTCCAAGGGTCGTACCCTGAAATTCAACAGAAATGGATTCAGACTCTTCTGCGAGCTAAAGGGTGGATTGTCCCGAACTATGAACTTGCCCCTGACTTGGAACAGGTTCAAATCCTTCGGGTCGTCGTCAGAGAGAACATGACTGAAGCGGTCAGCATTCTTCTCTTAATTTTCTTGTCGAGCTTTATTGAGGTTATCGTCTAGTTGGTGGACCGCCTGTTAGAAGATATCGTAAGCAACTTGGAATATTTTGACTAGTGCAAAAGCTGATGATTGTCCAGGTCGAGGTTACTCAAGACCTCATTAAGCAAGAGTCCCCGACACATGCCCTCAACTTACTTGGAAACCACAGCCGTAAGAACCGTGACAATACTGGTAAGATGGACGAAGGCTCTGCGTCCGGGTGCTCCGGTACATACGCGAAGCCGTGTTAGAGCTGGCAGAGGTGAAAGAGCGGTAGAAAGATTCATTTTGGCGATATTTGTGCAACATAGTACTGGATATCCTGTAGAAAGTATCAGAAAAGGTTAAGGAATTGTAAAGATTAGGCCTGCTGAGGGCCAGGAATATGAATCACGAGGTTTTAGAGCACCACTGACTCAGGTTTGGGATGTGTTTTAAGACCACAAGTCTTGGTGCTGCATGTTGCGTGCCGGGTTAGGTATGAGTTCCCGTTCCAACTTGAAAGTCATATTCCCTACCGATTCCGTATTTGTTGCTTCTCGGTTTCTGTCTATGGTCTGCTGCGAGGGCCGCAAGAGCGAGGCCGAGAAGTTCGTCGACATCGTCTTCTGCTGCAGCCAGTTGTGCAATGGCAAAGACTTCAAGCTTCAAGCTGTCTCGCCGTTGACTGATGGTGCTTCAGTGGCTGGTGTCCGTGACGTGGTAGACGCGCCGTGACACGGGCGTATGATGCATTGATAATTGTACTGGCATCCCCGCGGATGACGAGCGTCGAACAACATGTTAATACATACCCAGCAGTCCAATATAAGCATCATTTTCTCATTTGCTTATTCCCCACTGCAAAATTAATATACGCTCGTTCACGTTCGTTCGCAAAATAAAGTAAAATGGAATTGAGTGGGACTAATGAGAGGTCAGCACCGTCGGTCCGTGAGCCCTTCTGCGAGTTCAACGGCTGTACCCCGGCCCATTGATCAATCGATGTTCTACCGGACAATGCATAAGCAGTCGAGTAGGAATTGCGAGTGAATATGAAGTTAACCTCAGCGGGGTGAATACGTCGGAATTGACTTGATACGCCAGGTATTTCTCTGTTGTGAATGTAACATGACTACTAGACATCCACGACAGAAAGAATACCTGGAGCCGAGGGCGTCTCTAGGTCCGGGTACAAGTCTCACAGCTCTGGCGGAGTTTGAAGACGCTGCCGGCACCCCCGAGCATCAGGCTCGTTGTGCCCGACATACTATCCCCCTCCATCAACAACTTGAAATTTCTGGCTGAAAGAGTTGGCACCTCCGAAGATGCTGTTGATGTCCTATATTGTCAAGAATCTCGTTTGGATGTTGCTCACAGCTGGAAAGGCCGCTGCTGAGGAGGAGAAAATATTCAGGTCGTTTGCCTACAAGTGAGGGATCAATAAGTATGCCTTAGTTTGACTTGGAATTAGTGACACGTCAATGTTCTTAAACGCAATGTCAAGATATCAATCGATATCATTGCCAAAGATAACTACAACAGTGACTTGTCATCCACCTGCCTCACAACAATACCTTAAGCACAAGCCATGGCTGCAGATGAGAGCCAGACACCGCTCACTCTCACTTGCATTGTCCGATGTCGCTTGCTTGAAGGCCGTGTCAAGGAGGGCGGCAGCTGAGGAATGGACGTAACGACGGGCGGGCAGGGTATTTGAGCAGGATGCTATTGACATCACCTCTGGTGGTGGCGGGTGGGCACAGAAGTAGCATTCTTGACAGTTGGCGGGTGGCGGGCAGCAGAGAGGCGGTATGGAGGATATTATTAGGTGAGCCGCACCTGCGAGACCTCTGGAGCCAAGGCATTCTAACCACTTTTCCATGGTCAGCTGCTGTGGGTCATGTGTAGATACTAGAGATTTGTGATAAGATATATCCGTATACAACGGCATGCGGAGGTACCAGGCCCCTGACGGGACATCGTGAGAAAGTGTGATAATAATAACGATGAGAGCAAGATACTGGACTTGAAGTAGGTCAACCATGGGACGCGCCCACCACGTAACGTCACAATTCGTTCCTTGATAGTATCAGATTTAACGTTCGACAGAATGTGCTACCACCTGCTACCACTTCATAGCTTGGCAAGGAAGACAACCGTTCCTTCTTGATGCCACTCCGTGGGAGTCGGGTCAACTTTTGAAGATGTTTAGTACCTGGTGTCCCTTTCAAGCTTTTGCGACCTAACTAGTGTGTTGGTTCTTTGTGTCTCCATGGTCCAGAGTGTCACTTGACATTGGTCTGACCCTGCTTATCAGTGGAGGTCTGTGTTTATCAAGCAAAGTTACCCCATCCGAGTATCACATATTCTTGTTTCCTCCGAGAGGCGTGTATTTAAGGAATCGACATCGGAAGCTGTACATCCTCTGCGCGAGTTATGGCTCAGTCTCATCTTACGGAGCCATCAAAGGTGTTTGAGCACCAGGAGAAAGACCTGAAGGCCTTCGATGTCCACAGCGCAGAGAGTGTAGAAGAGGCTCCCTCTCAAGAGTCTGAGCAGATCATCCGCGGGGCAGGAGACATTACCAACTTGGTAGGTCTAACAACAGAGGTGTGCGTTGTCTGCTCAACATGTTGAATTTACATTAGATCATATCTGATGAGGATAATCCCGAGCTCCCTGCACTGACCTTCCGTTTCTGGGTCCTTGGTATTGGGCTAGCGACTTTTGGTGAGTTGGAGTGAAGCCTACACTCCATACCGACGCAAATTGGCGTTCAACCAGGATCTGTGCTATCCGAGATTTATTTTTGGAAGCCTCAGAATGCTATGGTTTCGGCCTTATTTCAACTGATTATATCTTACATGCTGGGTAATGCAGTGAGTTTCTGCAGTTTGCTTCACTGTTTCAATTGATCGTGAAAATACGAAGATGCATTATGCTATGCCTTCGACGGGGATTTGGCGCCGCCTCAATCCTGGGCCGTTTAACATCAAGGAGCACACGTGCATCACCATTATGGCATCCACTGCGTCAGTTACAGCCAATGCTATTGGTATAGTAGCAACACTTAATCTGTTTTACGGCGTGACTTTGAGTCCTGGAGCCGCGATCTTCCAAACGTTCGCATCGCAGGTGCTACCAACCGCTTGCTAACTCTGATATTCGAATTGACTCCATGATTCAGTTGATCGGATATGGTTTTGCGGGGCTTCTAAGAACCCTCCTCGTATGGCCAACTTACGCGCTGTTTCCGAACCAGCTCCCGTCAATCTCTCTTCTGCAATCCATGCACTTTAGCGGTTTACTCAACCGCAAGAAGATGAAGTACTTCTGGTTCGGTAATTATTTTCAACTCGAACTTCCGAGTCATGGACGCTGATGACCTCCTCAGTCTTTGGGGCCATATTTTGTTGGGTCGGTGAAGCAACATGACACGAGCTCATCCTCACTGATATCATGTTATCACCCACAGGAAATCATTCCGACTTGGATGTTTCCCCTTCTAACGGCGTTCTCTGTCATTTGCCTGGCTGATAATGGACGCTCGCCTGTTATTCGCAATATCTTTGGTGCGGGAGGGTCCAACGAAGGTCTAGGTCTGCTGTCATTCGCCTTCGACTGGACCTTGATCACACAAGCGTTTCCTTTATATTGGCCTCTGCAGACTCAAGTCTCTTCCTGGGTTGGGCTGGCATTTGGTTATATTCTGATGGGTGTGTCATGTCGTACCATTTCCTTGTTGACGCCATTCATCAATTCACTATCAGGCGGATGCTATTATGCAGACGTGTTCCAGGGATATTCGAGGGGTTTACCGTTCATGTCAACTGCATTATTCACTGGGAATGGCTCATCGTACAACCAATCCGCGATCCTTGGCTCCAACCATCAACTGGACCCGGAAATGTATGCTGAAGTTGGACCCCCGTGCGTACACAAAAAGGCATAACTAATATTTTTGCACTGAAAACACCTTTCAGATTCATGACAACAACCTACGCAATGTCTCTGCTTTTGACCTATGCTTCCATGGGGGCAGCATTTTCCCACATATTGCTGTGGCACTGGACGGAGCTATGGGAAGCTTTCAAAGGCTTCAACTTCTTAAAGTCAGGGCAAGATTTTGACGAGTGAGCTATGCCTTTTCCCTCACTTTCGGACTTTCTTTAATGTCGCATTCCAGTATTCACTTTCGGCGAATGAAAGTGTACAAAGAGGTTCCACAATTGTGGTACGGTTCTCTTTTCATCGTGTCACTGGGCCTAGCGATTGGCATGGCATACGTTGGCATGAACACCCTGCCGTGGTGGTCTGTCCTACTTTTTACCGTCGTCGGTGAGTTACCGACGTTGAGGGGTTTTATTTCACCTCAAGTTCTCTTGCATAGCATTCATTCTCGCCGTCATCCTTGGTTTCATATATGCTGTGACGGGATTCCAGATCGCCACCGGAGGTTTTGTGCAAGTCATTGCTGTCGGTGATTTTCTGCATTAATGGTGGCGGTCAATATTGACAGGCTGTGTTTAGGCATACGTCCATCCTCAGCAACCGATTCAGAACATGTATGCAAAGTTGTACGGTTACAACACTGGCTATCAGACATTCGCCATGCTGTCCGATTTGAAGCTAGGTGCTGTCCTTCACTTGATGGATTGACTCAAGACTTAACGTTTGCCTTCCAAGGTCAATATGCGAAGGTACCACCGAGGGCTACTTTTGTTGCGCAAGTCAGCGGCACGATTCTTGGGGCCAGTAAGTAACTTATGTTCTATGAGGCTTATATTGCTGAATGCTTTGATTGAGTTTTTAATTATGTCCTCTATGAGTCTATCGTAGATGCCCACAGAGCCGATTTGATAAACCGTGCGCTATATCATACATATATAGTCTCTACTCGAACTCAAGCGAGATTGATTATAGCGATCGGAACGCGTATATGGTCAGGGTGGAACTCACAGGAGATCAACTCAGCAGCAATTACATGGGGCGCTCTGAGTGCGGAGCTATACAGCCCAGGTAAAACGTACTTTCAGGTAAGTTCCCGAGTAGATTGTTGCAAACGCAGATTCACGACCCCTTTCTAGATTCCTCTTGGACTTCTATACGGGTTCCTCGCTCCTTTCTTGCTCTATGCCATGCATCGCCTATTCCCAAGGTAATTTGCTCCGCAATATTACTTATAGAAATCTGATACTCTGGACGAAACAGACAATGGATTTGGTCTTATCTCAACATGCCGATTATATTCGCGTTTCTTGGTGGGCTTCCATTCTCAGTCAATGGTACGTTGACAAATCGTACGATGTTACATAACTTGTACTGATAATTAATACAGGGATGTGGTGGCCAGGGTTCATCATCGGGTTGTCTACGCAATGGTGGGTCAGGACCAGGAAGCCAAGATGGTACAATAAATACAACTGTGCGTGATCTGGCCGGAGATATCATGACGAACCAACCAGGGATAACTATGCAGATTTGACTTCTGCCGCTTTGGACGGAGGTGCGTCCATCGTTTACTTCATCCTTAATTTTGCGGTGTTCGGTGAGTTTTCTGTTCGCAAGTCGGCACCATTGTACTTATTCCACTTAAGGGGCCGGCGGAAATGCCATAAGCTTCCCTACGTGGTGGGGAAATCCTGATCCGAGTGTTATCAGTGTCGGTAAGTTCATGACTGCGTCATTCTCTGGGATTATTAGTTGTCATTTACCCAAATCAGATCATTGCATGGCCACCACCTTTTCATGATGTGGTTACAAATGATCGGCCTCCTTGCCATGAGGACTTTACGGATTTGCAACTCACACCGAGTTGTTGGGCCACGGAGTTTGAATTTCCATTGGGGAAGTCGTAGTATTTGCTCGAGTGATGCAAGTGACGCACAACTTGTACACTCCCTCATGCCTTAATAATAATTAGTACTAGCATATTCATTCCTTATGATGGTTACAGCTCCTTGGGACCAATGGCCTGATCTCTCTGATGTTCTGAACCTGTGGAAAGCAAACACGAAACCCAGTATCCTGCTTTCAAAACTGTTACTTTCCGACAAAGCCAAGGAGGCCCTCCACATGCATATAGACACTGTTGGCCTTGATTCCTGGCGTTTTGATCATGGCGCAAATGATCAATGTATGACTACTGTAATGTGCCTTCCTGCATGATCTAATATTTCTCAGGCACGGCATACAAACTGTTAAGCAGTATAGGCCTCCATATCCCCGACAAACTATGCCGTGATGTCCGCAGCAAGTACTCAATACGTTCCACTGGCCGTAAACCTGTCAAAGCCAAGATTTCCGGTGTCATTTACACTCGCTGCACTTGTATCTACCAGTGTCTATGTGGTACAGATCATCAGGCTGGGAAAAGACCATCTAACAGTCTATAATGTCATAATGATACATCAAATAGATGGGAATTGTCATACAATAGTGATACATAAATGTGAGGAACTGTCAGGCATCCAAGCTGTAGGAGTGATGTATCAGTACAGATCCTCCCAGAAGATACTATTGGAAATAGAGCAAGTGCGCCCGCAGTTGAGATGCGCTATCATTTACTATTTGTTCGTAACGTCCAGCGACCTGTATGTATGTCTCTCATTTTGATTCTCTTGTTATCTATCCCGTCATTGTACTACTAAAACCTATTGTCTGTTTGGGCCAGCACTGTTTCTTACTTTGTTTCTTGTCTCACCTACATACAAGATCATTGGGTCTATTTAAGCTACCTTGTATTCGAGCTATAACCTCAGATGTTTGCTTTTGCGCGCACATTCTGAGAGTGTCTACTTAATCTAGACCCACATGAGTTGTATTATCTTTTCAGGTTATGAGCCTTTTAGATCCAGATAACACTGTTAGACCTCAGTCCCATAAAACGAACTATATTCGTGTACCTAGATAACACTGTCAGACTAGGGTACACGTCAC